GCCCTGGGCCGGGAAGACTGACCGCTGTGACCTCAAAAGGTTGGTCAATAACGAGGGGCCATGGGTGCGGCGAGGCCAGGCTGTGGCGACAGCTCCAGTGTCCTGGTCATTGTCCCTCCTCCCCAGGGGCCCCAGGAAGAGGGGCAGGGACACAGGCTCAGCAGACGCTGGTGTCCCCTCCCTGCTCGACGCACAGAGCAATGCCAGCCTGACACATGTCTGCGTGGAACAGAAATGGGGGTGTTTCTCCCCTTTGCCTCCCTTTTACTGTGTGGCAAGCACGTTATAAACACCAGCTCACTCAGTACCCAGGTAGGAGGCTCTGAGGAGGCTTTTCAGATGGGAAATTGAGGCGTAGAGCGGTTTAGAGACCTCCGGGTTAGTGAGAAAGAGGCTAGAATGTGAACTCAGATGTGTCTAGTTCTGGGTGCCCATCAAAGCATAATTTTCCCAATGAAACCTCGCCATGTGCTCACTACATGAGTGTATGAGAATTATGCAGCAGGTCAAGTTAATTTCTTTCTGAGGGACTCAGGAGATGACAAGATGGGTTGAAAGGAGAATATAAGAAACACGGACGAGGAAAAGGATGGTCGAGAATTATGGGATACAATTATTGTAAGATGCAGAAATGCTTAATAACTTAGAGGATCATCAGACCATAATCTCTACCAGACAAAAGTACTTTCATCTCGTCAGTTTCCAGCAGGTTAGCAGCTGAGTTTCTGGAGTCTGGGCGCTCATCCGTAGTTAAGTCTGGGGAGCGTGAGCGAGCTTCCTGACGCTGCCTGGTACCGCACCGCAAGGACAGGCGGCGGCTTTTCTGGCCTTATTTCTAAGTTTCGGATGGCTTTTGTGAACAGTCAGTAACGTCCACCATTCCTTGAAATTGCCTCCGTTTCTCTCGCCCTAATTCTTTCTCTTTCCGACCCTCGTCAGTAAGGAAAATGGATGGGACATTATGAACTTTTCACATTGAAAAGAAATCTGGACAGAGTCCTGAGGTGATGGGGGACCTGAGTGTCCCTGAAACCCCGGGACTAGGGGCCCCTTGTGGCTCTCAGGTAACTGGGCTGATGTCCACATGTCCTTCTGGCACCGTTCCTGGACCTTCAAGCCGTAAATAGCCACTAACAGACCTGCAGACATTCCCACCCATCGCTCCTCACCCGAGCACTCCGTTACAAATGAGCTGGCCTGTGATGGAGACCAGGCCCAGGTGGAAAACAGCTGGCGACCAAGAATTTGTCAGCTAGACTCTAAGCAGGCAAGAGCTCTCAGCCTGGAAGACGTGGGTCCCTAATGAATCAGGGAGACCCCAGCATTGAAGCCTTTCACGCAAGGCACGTGCATAAATCCCTGACTCGCAAGCACCCCGCAGCCGGTGTTGCCGGCATCTGGAGTTGACAGCTTCCTGACACAAAGCCATCAGGTGCCTCTGAGGGAAGCCCTGGCTTTCTGATCACATGGAGATTTGTGGATATGGCAAATAGCCTAAAAGAAACCAGCCCCCTGGCTTCGGCGGCGAAGCGAGGTGTCGAAGACGAAATGACCTAAAAGCATTTCATTGAACTTGACTGCAACAGTCTCCTGTTGGGAACTGTTCCCCACATACAAGCCCTACCATGGAAGGGTGCACACCTAAACACAGGACACACCATGCAGGCCGCACATCTGGGATGCTGCCTATACAAGTGCACAACACAGCTACATGCTGAGGCTTATCTGAGGGCATGACTTTTCTGGAAGGTTCCATACGTTCCAGCATGGTGGTGGAGGAAGCACCATCGCCCTTCAGTGTCATGAACTTGGGCCTCAAAGAAATTTAGGAATAAATGAAATGCATCAGGGCCAGCGAGAAGTCCCCCCCGCCGCCGACACGCTTGGAGATCTCAGTGACTTGTTCTCTGCTGTCTTAGATGCCGAGGGAGTGAGAGTTGGTCATTCGCACGTAAGTGAGTGTGACGAGTGACAACATCACTTGTGGGAAACACCTAAATAACAACCTAACCCAATCCCCGTTGTGTAGGACGGTGGTCATGGCATTTGTAAAGAAGGGCCCGTTTATTTTTGTTCTAAAAAGAGAAAAGTGGCCCCGGCTGGGTAGTCCAGTCAGTTAGAGCATCTTCCCAATGTGCTAAGGTTGCGGGTTCGATCCTTGGTCCGGGCACATACAAGAATCAAGCAATGAATGCATAAATGAGTAGAACAGCAAATCGACGTTTCTCTCTCTCTCAAAAATCAATAGATTTTTTTTATAAAATAAAAATAAAAAGAGAAAGCAACATTCCACTTACCTTGAAAGCAGACCTGTGATGCTCAGCTCAGGGCAGGCAGTAGAGCATCACAGAGTCCTTACGTGGTGGGCCCCTTGGCAAGTCCGACCACAAGAAAGAGAGAGGCTGTTACCAACCGAAAGGGGTCCGTTCACTTGTGTGCATCAAAGCCAAAGCAAATGCGAACAGAAGTGAACAGCCCGGAAAATTAGTTTACTAGTTGAGAGATGGTGCCCACCCAGAGTCACAGGTGAGCTAGTGCTCAGAGGCCTGGCTCCCCGACGGCGTCCAGAGGAGGGCTGTATAGAAGGGAAGTCACTCATCGCGGTGGCTGAAGGAGGTGGGGTCGTGGGCTCTACTGATGGGTGGGGCCAGGGCAGTTGATCACTGTAGCAGGTCCTGACGTCAGCCATGGCGTTGTGCTGTCTGGTTTCGTGAGGGGGTGGTCCCTAGGCTCTTTCTGCTCTCATGGGCCTGGGGCGGACACAACTGAGGTCCAGATGTCACCTGTAGCCTGACCGAAACTCTGTGTGGCCAGCACACCTGAGGCTTTGTCCTTAAGACAGTGTGATGCTGACCAGAATCCGACGTCCGAAGGGCTTGATGATTAAGGAAGGGGGTGGACGGGCAGAAAGGAGGAAGGGTCATGGCAACGAAATGGAGTTTCGGCGTGGTTACAGGACCAGAACCTTCTCTGGGGACCGTGCAGTGAACGAAGTGGATGTGGACACTCAGAAGCCCCGGTTGGGCAAGTCTCAGATCTGTGAGGCTTTGCCTAACTCCCAGCATCCTCTTTGGTCTATTTCTTCATCTGCAAAGTAGCCACATGCTTTTCGGTAGGGACGCTCCTCACCGGAGCTCCAGACTTGGAAGGCGTGGCCGGCCGCAGACTGGAGTCTGTACGTGGAGAAGTGAAAACGACTTCGTTTCACGGTGCTGCCTTTGCCGTGTCTCACATCAGCTTTCTTGGGGTTGGCGGGATTCTTATAAGAGAATAAGAACCGTTTCCCCAAGATCAGTTGGGTTAAGCAGAATGTGCTGTGGGCTGTTGAGATTTCAGTGATTGTGTTCAGGGTGACGGGGTCGGTCCCGCCTGGGTTTGAGTCCCATACACCTCTCACTAGCTGTGTGATGCTGGCAACTGTATTGAACTCTCTGTTCAATACATACCTACCTTATAGGGCTGTTGTGAGGATTACGTAAGATAATGTCAGTAAAAGCCCTCAACATAGCACCTGACCCAGAGAAAACTATCATTCATAGAGCACTTACTATTATTATACATACAACCGACAGTTTTAAAGCACCTACTGTGTGCCAAATACTAGGCTAGAGCTAGGAGAGTGAGTCACCACCCCTAGGGCAAAAGAATTTCACGATTTAGAGAGTGAGAAGGACACACATACATGGGCAACTACAGTCAATATGAAAAATCATAACCAGAGATGAACCTGGAGTGCCCTGTAAGTGCCCGAAGGGCCACCCGGCTGGGCCCGGGCATCACGGCCAGCTTCCCGAAGAGGCAGCACCTCCCCTGAGGCCTGGGGGCTGGTCACGTAAACCGCACTGTCTGGACTGCTGTGAGGCCACTAGCTTCCCCTGTGGATGCTAGACCCAGGGCACAGCAGGCTCTGAGGACACCTAGCCTTTCATTCCTCATGTCCCAAGGGTGGGGAGGCCACACCAGGAGAGACCAGGCCACAGTGTGTGTGTGTGTGTGTGGTGTGTGCATTTAATAAAGCTTTTAAGAGAAATTAGGCATTCCCCCAGAGTGTTAATTATTAACCCTTGTAAAGTCCAAGCGAACCAATTGGCTCTCATTTCCTCTCCATTGCTTCAGTTTGTATCAGTTACTACTATTACCGCCGTCAGCACCATCGTCGTTGTTCTGAGGTACTGGGCAGAGCCAGGGCTGAGGAGGAAACTCGGGTGGCACACGCCACATGAAGGCGTTTTTCTTTCCTCCCTGACCCCAGTTTCCATCACCAGTTCCTGGTCATTCCTGGCCCAGCCTCAAGGGCTAACCAGCTTGGGTTTTACCTGAGTACTCTGCCAAGAGCGGGTGTTTTTCTTGGGACCCACAGAAGTGTGGTCACTGCAGGATTCCCTCTTTGTCCACACTGGAGCTGATCCCTCCTGCATCCCCATAGGACAAGGGTCCCGGAGTGTCTGCTGGTGTCAGGCCCTGAACACGGGCCTGTTTGCCTCCCAGAAGGCCATGGTGAAGTTTGCTCTGGCCCATCAGTGAAAACACAGTCTGGGGTTTTTAGTTAGAGGCTTCCAGACCGCCCAGCACTAATGGGACCGCCCTTAATTAAAGGGTTGCTTCTCATTTTTCTCCCCTCCTCCCCCATGCCAGCAGGTGGCGGGGGCGGAGCTATCAGAGCATCCCTGCCTGTGACCACGCCTTCCACCCTTGGGACATGACGGGCAATGCCACAGCAGCCAGAGACGAGTGGCCCATCCACATGCCCTCTGACCCTTGTCACCAAGGTGCTGGACCAGCGTGTCTCGGTGCTGAATTCCTGCTCCTCCCCGCAGATCCCACCCTGTTCATTTTTTGACATAGATTCTGCATCCTTTTGTTTATTTTTTACGTTGCATATTATTCTGTAACTGTTTCAGAGGCACAGCACAGCTTAGACAATCGTGTCCTTTAGAGAGTCCCTTCCTCCCCCCCCTCCCCCCCCATATTCCAAGTACCCCCATGTCCCATATCGCCTTGTCACTTAGAGCTGACAGCCTTGCCGGCCCTCAGGGCAGGTTTGGGGATGCCGATGCCTGCCCAGGGGCTGGGAGCTGGGTGAGAGTGGAGACAGTGGGGCCTCTCTCAGTGCTGACTCTCCCCTTGCTGCCTCCAGGAATGGCCGTGCCGACCTGGCCGCCATATACCACGAGCGCATCGACGTGGAGGGCCACCACTACGGCCCCTCGTCGCCGCAGAGGAAAGACGCCCTGAAGGCCGTGGACACCGTCTTCAAGTACATGGCCCAGTGGATCCAGGTGACCGAGAGCAAGGCCCCTGGCTGCCCTCCCTCCTGTCACTCTCTGTCTGTCTCCTTGACGGTCACACCCCTCAGCATTGTCTCTCCTGCTGTTGAAGCTGACAGGGCAGCCCCAGGCTGTGGGAAGTCCATCTTCCTCACACACCCCTCCTCGGGGGGAGAGACCCCTTGGTTTACAGCCAGGCCGGGGGGCGGGAAATGACAGGCATTGTCAGCCCGCTCCACTGGCGAGATGGCCCGTTCTGCACCAAAGCCGATGTCTGGGAGCCAGGCTGGGCTCTGCCCCTCCTTTGCCACGGCCTGGCTGAATGACTTTAGGCAAGGCATTATTTTTCCAAAATTGGCTGGGCTGTAGTTTGCACATCTGTGAAGTGGGGAGGGACAGTTCTGTCACCATGCAAGTTGGTTGAAAGAGCCACAGACGACAGACAGCAGTGAGGGCACTTTGCTGGGTGAAAGGCCGTATGTGCCGTCTTTAGCGCCATTGGAACGGGCTCAGGTGCCACCCCTCCCCAGAGGGCTTCTGCCCAGTGTGAACTGTATCTTCAGGGAGGGAGGCTAGACGATGAAATTCAGACTTGGTTACATGTCCTTTCTTCTATAATGTGTAGGTTAAAATACCTCCCTCCCCCTTTCCCTCCCCTTCTCTCCTCTCCCTCTCTCTTTCCCTCTCTTTCTCCCCCTCCTCCTCCCCTCCCCTTCTCCCTCCCTTTCTCCCCTCTCCCTTTCCCTCTCATTCTCTCCCTCTCCCTTCCCCTTTCCCATCTCCCTCTCCCCCCTTCCCCCCCCCCCCTTCCCCTCCCCTCTCTCTACCTGTCCCTCTCCCTCCCCTCCCCTTCCCTCTCTCCCTCTCTTACTTTCCTTCTCCCTTCCCCTCTCTTGCTCTCCCTCTCCCTCCCCCTCCCTCTTTTCCCTCCCCTCCCTCTCTCTCTCTCTGTCCCTCTCCCCCTCCCAGCTGTGATGACCACCTTTGTCCACCCACAGGAGCGGGAGCTGCAGGACAAGCTCAATGTCATCATCTTCTCCGACCATGGCCTTCCCTCTCTCCCTCTCTTACTTTCCTTCTCCCTTCCCCTCTCTTGCTCTCCCTCTCCCTCCCCCTCCCTCTTTTCCCTCCCCTCCCTCTCTCTCTCTCTGTCCCTCTCCCCCTCCCAGCTGTGATGACCACCTTTGTCCACCCACAGGAGCGGGAGCTGCAGGACAAGCTCAATGTCATCATCTTCTCCGACCATGGGATGACCGACATCTTCTGGAAGGACAAAGTGATTGAGCTGAAGCAGCACATCAGCCTGGGGGACCTGCAGCAAGTGAAGGACCGCGGGCCCCTTGTGAGCCTCTGGCCAGCTCCCGGGAAACACGCTGAGGCAAGAGCACAAGACAGGGAGGGAGGTGGACGGGGGAGGGGAGGGGATAGAGCCCGGCCACCACTCCTGCTTGATCTTTATCCTGCAGCAGCTGGTGACCTCCATCGCGGTTTCAGCCTCCCCTGCCTCTGTTTTCTCTTCTCTAAAATGGGCGTGTGGGGACCTACGGCACTGAACTTCAGTGGCAACCGAAGGTGATAAGAGATGTACAGTGCTTCTCAGGCTGAGTGTTTAGCCCGTAATGGGCCTACTGTACTGGCCCGGTGCTCACCTGCTGGGCAGTGTTGGAGGCACACGCAGATGCTCTTTCTCTGGGAGCAGCCCCGTCGGACTGTGTTCCTCAGGGAACTGGAGACAAGCAGGCGAATGAGCCACTGAAGCCGTGTGCACTGTGGGTCAGCTCCTTAGCACAGGATCCACTCTGCTGGGTCCCATCCAGCTCCGTCATAACCCGGCATCTTCCCAACCAGGCCCCTCTGTCCACGCAGCGCAGCTTCCGTCCGGGGCTGCTGGAAGCACAGGGGCATGCTGGCCGCTGCAAGGACGATGCACGTGTCACTCACTGTGATCACCACCATCCAGGGGGTGCTCCCGCGAGGGTGAGGCTGTGATCACCACCATCCAGGGGGGGTGCTCCCAAGAGGGTGAGGCTGTGATCACCACCATCCAGGGGGTGCTCCCGCGAGGGTGAGGCTGAGCTCCCACATGTGCAGATGTGGCGCCCTCTCGCTCCCCCGTCACTGCCCTCCGGGGACCCAGCACCCTGAGATTACAGGCCTCTGCCTACCCTTCTCCCCAACACCGATTACATCCGGAGAACCTGGTGCTGAGTCACCCTGAGAAAATGAGGAGGAGCCGGGGGCACCGTTGGGTGACCGCTCGGCCCCAGGTGGCCTGGCCGCCTCCCAGTGTAGGCTTCGGGGCTCCTGCCGGCTCCAGAGAAGATGCTCTGGGCCAGGACGAGCGCCTTCCTCGGGGAGGCCCAGCTGTGGCCTGGGGGGGAGCCCGCCGTGGGGTGCCTGGTGCCTCCCCCATGCTCACAGCAGCGAGACACTGGCCAACGGGTGCTGGGCGGTTGTTGGTGTTGATGGAGCGCAGGGGTGGACTGCAGCCTCTTCTCTTTGGCCCAGAGACCCCTCTCCCCCCCCCCCCCCCCCCCCTTTGGCCCAGAGACCCCTCTCCCCACCCCGCCCACCCCATCGAAGAGTCTGAGAGCTGTCAGTGTGGGGCTGAGGGACCAGTGGCCAACAGCCCACCCTCCCAGTGCTGCCCCTCCCCCGGCGGACAGGCCTTTTTCTCAGGAGGGGAAGGCGTGTTTGCACAATGTCCCATGAGCTCCCTCAACACGAAACGGGGAGAATATCTCATGCAGGGGCAGGTGCCACAGTGACTGCTTCTTGCGGAGATGGAGACGGAGACAGAGACAGAGACAGAGACGGAGAGGGAGACGGCCTGTTCCCCTGGCAGGCAGCTCGCCCGCCCGCACCTCCAACTTGGCGCTTAGGGAGGCGCCGCTTCCAGGATGCTTAGGCGGGGGCAGCTCGCGAGTGGGAAGCGCTCCTCTGGACCAGGACCAGGCGGGCCGCAAGCTGCCTCACGCAGGTGGTAGATTATTCACAAGGGGGGCGTGTTTGGGTGACAGTCTGTCATGTGATGGACCCAACCGTGTATGAGGCCCGCGATGTGTCCTTGGACGTTTCCCTTCTCCAAACGCTTCCTGCACATGCACCCACTTCCCCAAAGTGTGGGCTTTAAGTAGGAAATCACGACGCACGGGGCCATCGGAAACCCTCTGCCGAACAGCCCGAGGACTAATTCATTTCAGAGGCGAGTGGATAAACTCCGGTTTGCGGTCAGTTCCTCAGCGTCAGCCAGGGGGCTTTCGTTTTAGCCAGGAACATGTTAAGCTGCTGCTAGATGTGGGACATGCGTAGAGTTTACATGTCATCGGGGAACTCGCAGTGTAATTAGTGGCGGACAACTGGCACTTTTCAGATTCGAGCGGAGGTAGGACGTGCTCTAGGTCAAGTCAAAGAACAAACCCTCTTCCTTTGGTCGTGGTGGGATCCAATTTCTCCTTCTCTCTTTAATTTTATTTTAGCCTTTTTGACATAAATACGCTTTTGTAGTTTGTTCACTTGTTATTCAGTAGATGCCAAAAATTATTATAAAATATGTGTAAGGTGTAAAGGATACTATTACGACGGCACCTTATATTCAATATACTGAGAAACAGCACAGTATCATTACCTGTAGTAACTCCTGTGTGCCCTTCTCAGACCCCATCACCCGTGCAGCCACCTCAGAGAAAGCCACTGTCCTAAATTCCGAGTGATCGTTTCCCTAATTCTCTTTATAGTTTTACCAAATATGGTCATTAGTTTTTGTAGTTACTTGAACTTCCTATAACAGGAAAACTCTTGTCTGTGTTCTTCTGCAACGTGCTTTGTGTGTGTGTGTGTGTGTGTCTCAGACTGAAATTCAGGTGTTCTGTGTAGCTATAATCCCTTCCTCTTCGTTGCTATATAATATTCCACTGCCATTTACCCCTCGATCCAGGTATCTCACTGTTGCTAGGCTTTTGGGCTGCTCCAGTTTGCAGTACGTATCCCTCCACAGACCTGCAGGCGCACATGTACCAGGGTTTTCACTTACCCCTAGGTCATGGGCATGTGGATCTCCAGCCTTACTAGGTAAACCTCCTTGTCTTCTGAGACATATAGAAGTTTCTCTTTTTTACGGAGTCAAGTCTATCAGCTGTTTGAGGAATTCCTCTTTTCTTTTTCTTTTTAGTCTTATAAAGTCCTCCCTCTCCTCCAGGTGCATTAAATATTCATATTCGTGTGACAGAGAGGATGCAACCCCAGTCACCCCTGGTTTTCTCTGCAGATATACAACAAGCTGCGGACGGTGGAGCACATGACTGTCTACGAGAAGGAAGCCATACCCAGCAGGTTCTACTACAAGAAAGGGAAGTTTGTCTCTCCACTGACCTTACTGGCGGATGAAGGATGGTTCATAACTGAGGTAATGAGAAAATATACGACAACTTATGCATTAGGCAAATGCTGCCAAACAACCACAGGTACTAGCTCTTCCGCCTTTACACGGAAAAGGTTTTGTTTTCACTTAGGGGTCGTTCATTACACTATTTCGTTCTTTAGAGACTCAAGAGGCTTGGTCGGGTGACTTCTATTTGTTTATTTATTTTTTGTTAATCCTCACCTGAGGATATTTTTCCTGTTGACTTTTAGAGGGAGCGGAAGGGAGGCCACTGAAGGGGCAGGCCTATGACTAGTATTTTAGCTGCCAGAAAGTCCTCGGGTGGTGATCAGCAATACTGATCACGCTAATGAGCGGACGTGGGGCCTGGGTGCGGAACAGTGGGGTTCCCGGACAGGGAACTGTCACCCAGGAGGACTGAGTCATCCCTGTGCCCTCACAGACAGAAACCACCTGGTCACCAGGAAACAGAGCAGACCTGGTCCCATATGCCAGCTGTGCGGTCCCAGGCCATGCGGGGCCCTCCACAGACTGGCCTTCCCACGTCCTGTCATTTCAAATGTCGCCGAGGGGGTCCCACCGCCCCTCCCGCTCTCTCCTCTGAGAACCAAGTGCTTCTCTCCGCTTGCGCACAGTTTGGAGCTCCCTGGAGTGAGATTGCCCGAGGCCCCAGCAGCTTCACTGGAGTGGGTTTCCCAGGGCTGCGCGTCGAACACACATGCGGTCTAGTAGGTGCCTAGCCCATTGACCCCATGGAGCCAGCTTCCCGAGTCACGCTAAAGGCCTTGGGCTGGGCACTTTCCAAGTTAGAAAACTCTAGAATTTCGTTTGAGTGTTTAAAAGCAAGTAATCAAGGAGGGTTAATGCACAGCTCGCCCTCCTTAGCCCGGCTTCTCAGGCCTGTGGGTCCAGCGTCCGTGGCAGGGGAATCTTCTTGCTGGTTTAGCCGTAATCAGGAAAACGGCCGAGTCAGGACAAATCGATGCTGGTTGGGGGCCAATAAAATAGAATCCCTCTCCCTTTCTCCCTGCAGCCGCATGCCACAAACATGCATGATTTTGCTTCCTTGGCACAAACACCTTTCCCGTATAAATACCAACTTTTTGCCACCGGTTTAAGTTTTGCAGACGCGGAGCAGGTGGCTGCTCTAACAGGAAGACTTAATGGAGTCAGTTTTTTTTAATGGTTGCTTAGAGCAGCGGTTGCAAACCGGTCTGTGGACCACAGGTGATCTGTGAGGTCCGAAAGGTTGGCGACCGCTGGCTTAGAGTGCTGTCACTGAAAAAGATACAGATGGGGAAGCAGATTTAATTTGTCCCTCAGCACTGCACAGCTTCCCAGTGCGACTGCTGCCCTACCCCCCCCCGCCACACACAGTCCCCCACAGCTTGCTTCCTGCCCCCCCCCCCGGCCCCTCACCCCAGGCCTGCCCTCAAAGGTCCTGGTAAGATCATCATCCCAATGAACAGTCAGTACAGTCCCTGGAGGGCCCTATCCTGAGTCCCACCTGTTCTTTAGCCCAACTCAAATTCCATCTCTTCCATGAAGCACCCCGCTCGTCCCTAACATCCTCCCCCTGGAGTTCCCATGAAGCCCTGGCCACGCCCCAGCTGCTATGTGGGTTTGCCAGCTTTTGTTCTCTGGCCTCCTGGAGTGGAAGCTCTTGAGGTCAGGTCTGTGGCACCTTGACCTTCCGTTTTCCTCCACGGGAATGAGAACATGGCCAAGGCCGAGGACTGACTTCTTCAATCCGAAGGAGATGAATTGAATGTGGAGACGGTTGGTTCTTGGGTCGGCAGGGTGTTCACTTGGGAGGCTTGTAAATCCGAAGCCAAGTAAACTGAGGAGTTAAGTCAGGCCTTTGACTTAGATACTTGTTAGTAGGCCAGCGAGATTGCAATGGGGAGCAGACGTTGAAAGGACCCATGGGAACTCTCCTGCTCCCATTAGCCACAGCGGGAGCCGAGCGCAGGGCGCCTATCCAGTCCCTCCCAGCTCCCTGGGCTGATTCCTGCGGCCTCTTCACACACCCCTTCCCCACCTGGCAGGTGTAAGAAGGGGCCAGATGTGGCCAGACCTGGCGAAAGACCATGAAACACAGTGTCTCATGGTTGACCTTCGGAGCCGAGGGAAATGCAGTGAATTCAGGCCGCGTGTCTCAGGGAGGCCAGGACGTGTCACCAGAGGAAAGATTTACTTTGAAAACTGGCAGAGGGTGTGCAATGCCAGGTTCAATTCTAAGGCCCAAGGATGAAGGGCAGTTAGTCCCAGAACACGGGGGAAATCAAGACGATCTGGGAGGCAGTGGCAGCCAGAGTGGCGTTGTGCAGGCCTGGCTAATTGAGCTCCCGGAAGCGGGTGTTGAGTGCTGGGAGCTGCTGGCTTTCTGGTGGCGACGAGGGTCGTCTGTGTCAGCCGTCTGAGCACACAGGCCTGCCCTCTGCAC